GTTTATACCTTACAAAATGTGCAACAGAATGTTGCATGCATATCATTGCATGTGTTCAGGTTGGAGATGCATATGTTGCATATGTTAATCTTCACCATAAAAACAACTGCATACATAATACATGTATTTATTGTTTTGTGAGAAATGACTTTACAAATTCCTTACTTAATTGCTATAAGCTAAAATGTGACAGAATAAATATTAACATAAAATAAGTAAAACATATATGTATAATTTTCAAATTAAAATGTTCGACTAGTTTATAAATGTGTTGGAAAATATACACGCATGACTACGATTTACTAAAATATTTCCACATTACAAATTCATGGCATATCGATATTCATCCACTAAATCTGCAAAGTAAATCTGTCAAATGTGCAAGGTTCCATGACACTGCTCACGCTAAACGACTGATGAATATCATTTACCTTGTAAAACCAAAGCTAAACAATATACAGATATTATCAAAATATCTGCATTTTGTGTATATGTAATATTTTTATAGTTTGTGCTGTGTTGTGTAACTATGGACCACATGTTGAGTAAACCAGTCACAAAAATATCGTAACTTAAACTGAAACATACATTTGTAATGTATATATATGGTCGTTGTTTTATACTTAATGTGAAATGATTTATGACTTTGATAAATTCGGCGTGAACTCAGTTACAGTGACATCTGAATCAAGCCACCAATAAGATGAATACTTCAGTCTCTGAAACACTGACATATGTGTCGCGCGGCGGGTCGTATATAAAGAGAAAGGATGTGGTTGGTTGGTTGTTGTATAACACCGCACTCAGAAATATACGGCGGTCTGAAAATAATCGTGTCCGGACCAGGCAATCCAGTGAGTAACAGCATGAGCATCTATCTATGCAAGTGGGATACGAAGCCATGTGTCAACCAAGTCAGCGAGCCTTGACCACACGATCATGTCAGTCGCCTCTTCTGACAGATTGGTTTCTGAAGATCAATTCTAACCCGGATCTTCAGGGGTCTATTTTCACCAGTATATTATCAAGTTTATGTTGAACCAGTTCTACATCAAATGCATATATGAGGGATTTCTCAAATATTGAACTAAGAGTAATAATCCTTCCATATAAGAGTGCCGCCATATAGCTGGAATATTGCTGAGTGTGGCGTGAAACTAAACTGACTCACTCACCCAAATGAGCCATACTAAACTTGTCATTGGGCCTGGCCCGTATTCTATGAGAGAAAAACAATACATGCCATACCTCGTAACGAGGAAAGTACCCAATAGCTGAACTAAAATGAGACCTTTGACTCACACGTGTTGCAGAAACGTGTATGTACATTTATTTATACAATGAGGTTACGACTACTTACCTACACTGTCTGCATGTCCTAGATGTCTACTTGCTTGAAAATGAGCCACTCTGAGCAGTATCGGTTCATGTAAGTAACCGCACACCCTTCGTGTTTCGTTTGCAGCAACACTCATGATGGAATGCATTCATTTCATTTCTTTTCTTTTCTCATTTGGCTGCTCGTATGATTAGTCAGTCTATATGTTTGAATCAGATGAAGACGTTGAATATTTTGAACTTTCCCATCTGCACCCACGTGGTGGCGTCAACCTTAATGAGCTTAAGTGAGTGAGTGAATTTAAGTTTTACGCCGCACACAGCAATAGTCTAGCTGTATGGAGGCAGTCTCTCAATAATCGAGTCTGGACCAGGCAATCCAGTGATCAACAGCATGAGCATCGATCTATGCAATTGGGATACGATGACATGTGTCAATTAAGTCAGCAAACCTGACCACCCAATCCCGTTAGTCGCCTCCTACGATAAGAATAGTTTACTGAAGATAATTCTAACCCGGATCTTCACGGGTTTTGTTTTGTTATGAATGTTATTCACAGTTGGTGATGAACCAAATGCATAAGCGTTGACAGACCATACCCCGATGTCACACAGTGAAGTAGAAGCCTTTTAACTCTCTAGCTCAAATGGCAGCTTTTGTCCCATTATCAGATGTAGCTTACTGTGAGTACATCTTTGACCCACCGTGACACAACCAGCTGTGGGTCATTACCTGAACCGATAGGTAATTTATTAACTGTTCGTTAATTGGTCAGCCACGATGGAACAAGCTACCAGAAAAAGGGTGACCCAACTTATTATATAACTAGATGTGAGTAACCTGGTGAACTGAAATGTACCAAGCTTAGACTAAATCGATGATCAAAGATAATATGCATGAACATACGACATTTTCCTAGTTTTGAGTAGATGGGTGACCCACGATTTGTAGATTACTGTTCGTATTTCGATCACGAAAATATGTAACAAGCTGTGAGCTAGTCGAGTGTTTGGCGTCCAAACAACCAGGTGGTAAATCGATGAACCAAAAAGAAATTTACCCACAGGTTACACTGCACCGAATGTTTTATGCTCAGCCTTGTACCAGCAATAAACTTAAATAATTTGTCAGCTGTGATGCCCGTGCTGTGTTTTCAGTCAACGCTCCACCACAATGATCTAAAACCTAATGAAAGCACAAAGCACCAGTCTCAAAAACAGCAATATAGATAAATCCCATATTCTAACAATATGGTATTACTGGCGGTCTTTTAGCAGCCAAATGAAACTATTACCTGTAAATGTTCTAAAGCAGAAACCTCTGATCTGAAAAAATATGAAATCTCAGATTTTTCTGAGCTGTTCAGTTTGATTGTTATTTGTCGCGAGAACAAACAAGAAAAGTTCATTGCAAAATACCAGTATATATCAGTATATTTCATGTTTTCTTGTAACTTTCCACTAAAGTAACCTAGAGCCACACTAAAACTTATCCAGTGAACTACTGGGCGCACGTCAGTTTCAACTAACGTACCTCATGATTCAGTGAGCACGAATCGCATTTCTTTAGATAAAGAAATAAATATAATACAACCCACTGTTGCGATGACTGACAGACATTCTGCAAAAGATATGGTTGAATCATCTATGTAGCTGCGAGTAAAATGATGATTGACAAGAGTGACAGTAATAGGGCCACTCAACAAAACGGTTGCAGCGATGTGTTGCGAGCAATTCTCCAAGCAGGAAGCAAAGTATTACATATTACGTACATGTTAATCTCACAGGTGGCATTCCAGTGGTCAATCTTCCACAGCAATATGTATGATTCATGTAGACGTTTCAAGTTTATTCACTGAGATATTGTCATATAACCATTCCTATTGATTTGAAATGATTTGCAAAATATGTCATAAATATCACAGTGAGCACTATGCAAATGAAACGTATTGCATTTGGACGTATACTACTAAATAGGCATAAGGTTGTAATGACAAGATCCATCGTCGACAGGTTTTAATCTTCAAAACGTTTTCTCTTTATATTGTATAAATTGTTTTCGTCACGATATGGCTGAGATATTGCCGATGTGACGTTAAATATTAACTCACTCACTAATGACAAAATATAACTCATATAGATATATATGACGGACATAATATTTACAGGCCATCGTCATATATCAGAAATATTGCCCAGCGCTGTATTAAACAAACAAACAAACAACTCGTTTCCATGTTTTCACTTTCTTTATGGTTATCAATATTTATACATTGCATGCAGACAGATAGGGCCTACCTAGGAGAAGCACACGTTAGGTCATATTGCATTAGCTCAAGTAACAATATCTATCCGATGAACACACACATGTTTCAAACATATGTTTGTATAGGGTTAGGTTACGTAACAGTAGGGGATACATAATCAAGGTAAAAATAACAGTTCATTTTGTTTTGCAAGTTTTTTGCCATGTTGGTGCCATGATCAAAGCACATTATAACTGTGCGCTGTGTCATGTATTGCCTTATATATTGTTGAATATATGTCAGTTGTGACCCGGATGTCTGAGCATCTATGAATAAATACTGTGTAAATACAATGGTCAAAAGCCATAAGACACTTTTATGATGTTGTTATAATTTCTAACACACCTCTAACACAATCTTCCGTCAGCGTGTCAACAATGTGTGAAGTCATACATACACACTGCGTGAGGGGTACATTCAAACTCACGTATTCACCATTTACTCTGTTGTTCACGATTCGTTGTACACAATGACACAGCTTCCTCTTCTCAATGTAAAATGAAACCATGTCCACATTGAAAGGGTGAGAGGGTTTGCTTGGTTTAACGACGCTCTGAAGTGACTTTCAGACTTTCAGTTATAAACACACAATGCTATTTAGCAAGTGGTCAAATGGAAGACTTGTACTGGCGATTAAGAGTGTGGGTTCGAATCCCGGAAGGGATTGAGTTATATATCGAATCAGCTCAACACCCCAAAGTGATGTAGGTGATTCATGTTTACCACTGTGATGGAAACTAGAACCTGCTCAGGCTGGCTGACTTTCATGTTCATGCACGTCACCGTATCCTATTTGCTCACATGAATGCACATGATGCCTGTCGCAGGGTTGTCTAGCCCATACTCGATTATTTACAAACCGTCGTCATAAAGCTGGAAAATTGCGGTAAAAAAACAACAAATAATCATAGATTTCCTGCATCCCTGAACGCGCATGAGATAAGGGGACGACCACTTGATACCCAGTGCGTGTGTATGCATCACAGCACAGCAGTCACAAGAATCCTATTATAAAGCCCTACACGACGATTGTCTTTAATACATCTTCTCTGGTTGATGTAAGGCATGTCAGTTTTCAATGTCAATATCAAATGTCAGGTTTACTCGTGGCGAATTATGCATTTAAATCCTTACGTACACAGTAAGTGCACGCACTACACTGTGTGACAGCATTCTTAGTTAAGCCTGTGCAGCCCCTAAAAGCTTAATTTAAACGTGTTTTACTGAAAAATAAAACCTATAAAATGAAATGACTTTATTAGAAAAGAGCACAAAGCTGTAGTCCCACAAGGGTATGTGTGGCCTCCCGCACCCCACGCCAGGGTGACGGCCAAATAACTGAGCAGATCAGGTCTCAACTGTGACCTCTATATATCCCCCTCCATGAAGTGTTTGCCAAGGTTAGAAGGGGAATATATATGCGTTAGAACCCAGCTCTGAGTCTGACACACTGCATTGTGCATATGACATATTGGATGTTTGTTTGGAACAGAGCTGATAACAAGATGCCGGGAAGTGAAGGACTATCTATGAAAGGCAGTGTAAATGATGATGATCGGTTGAAGAGAGAAACTTGGGCTCAGAAGAGAGAGTATATATTGTCTATGCTTGGCTACAGTGTTGGATTTGGATCGCTGTGGAGATTTCCCTACCTTTGCAACAGAAACGGGGGTGGTAAGCACAATATGAATAATCGAAAAGGTTTAAAGAAGAATCATGTTTACATCAAGAAATTATTCATATTTAAAGCCTTACAATGGTAAAGTGACTGATGTGTATTTCTTTCACAGTACATTTAATTGATGTACTTGACAGGTGCCTTCCTCATCCCATATTTCACTGCTATCATCGCATGCGGTGTTCCGTTGTTCTTCCTGGAGGTTTCCATCAGCCAGTTCTCCAGCAGGAGTGCCACGCATGTCTGGGTTGTATGCCCCCTACTCAAAGGTGACTTGTTCATATTCCTTTACATCGACCCTGTTTGCCATACCGTCGCGCATTGATTCCCAACTAATGCAGTATTTAAATGGAAATCAGCGCCTAAAAGAACTTGTTGTGAAACCATCAAACAAGAAAGAGACGGGATGTAATTGGGAATAGTATTCTAAAATTTTCCAATTTAATACACTACAAGTGAATGAGTTAATATTTAACGTCACGTCGGCAACATAATACACTACGAAGGTGTTAAAGTGGTTGGACAAAATCAAAGGTAGTATAATACAAAAGTAGTGATTATAACAAGAAAGACAGCTCTGGTAATATTCAACTCACTGCAACAATGTCGAAACTTCCAGAGTACACAATTCTCAGCTGAGTATCAAGGGTAAGAATCTCGACGCAATTGCTGGTTTTCGTAAAACTTTATTTGTTACGTGAGATAAGCGAGTAGAGTTAGCTCCCTTACATATCTAAGAAAGAGACTCCGGAAGATTATCCAACTCCTTTGGTCAGAATATGATGGAAAGGCCCAAGTGTTGTAGTAGCTTCCAGAACAATGTAGAGCACACCGTTAACCCCCTTACTGTATGTCAAAGGTACAATATATTACACTTGGAATATTGTCTCACAATGAATATCACTGCCTCATAATATAAGTTACCACCTCTGAGTGAATGGTGCTCGACCCAATTGTCAGTCCTTTTCTGCAATGAAACTGAACGGTGTTCATATCAAACGACAGGCCTGCTCCGATGTTGGCAAAGAATATATTATTGAGATACCGTCGCTATTACTGGAATTGTGTTGAAACACAAATGACTAAAGCTGGATGTATGGGATATTACCCATCACGAAGTAATTTCAAAAGATCATATTTGTGGAACGTTATAGTAAAGGTTGTCTGATATCACGGCCACACACAGAAGTGAATCTGAACCTCCAATAACCTAGTTGCACAGTCCATTTTCGCAGGGTTATGGGTGTAATGTATCAAGGGTATGTGTTTTCACAGGGCTGACCGGAGATGTACGTGCAGTACGGACGTGAATATTGAGACAATGTACATGCGGTTTAGTCCCAATTTTAACAGTCCAAGTTTTGACAATGAAATTTCACACTTCTGTAATTGATCTAGCCAGTTGTCCCAATTTTGACAGTGAGCTTACCGGTCGTCCCAATTTTGACAGTCCTCGGCGCACACATGTTAATTAATCCCTGATTAGCTAGTGATTGTGGGAACTACTGTAACAGAAGTTTATACGACTAAAAACTAAGACTAAAACAAAAAAGACAACAATTGAAACAGTTTATTCTTGAAAGTCAATCACTTCAAAGTCACCAATCACTGAGCAACACTGTCACAGGCAGAAATATATGATGCCATAACTCTGTCACCTGTCATGTATTCCAAACCAAGTTAGTACAAGTTGCTGAAGCATTTTCAACACGACGTCTCTTCATCTGTGTCATGCCCACCTTGCAGCTGCATAATATACACTTTTTTGGAATCTTCTTGTTTGAAAAGTAATATAAGTCCACACATATAGGTTTGTCTTCGAAACTTCACACCTTAACGGATCAGTGAGCAAGACGTTGTCAAACATGGGACACTACCGTACATACCAGTAGTTCTCAAATGTCAAGGCCAACACATTTGTGATACAAATATTTCGAATCGAAAACCTCAACGCCCGATTTAAAAACCCGAAAAAAACGTTTGTTGGTATATTGGATTATGTTGTGACCTAGATATTTTTCATTGAGGCTAAAAATAATTTCGTCTGATGTAATTGAGGTGGAGCTTCAAAAGCTGATAGGTTATCCTGCTAGGTCTTTTACCAAGGTCTGAATATTTTTAGGTAAATATTGAAAAGAAAACCCTGTTTGAATTGTGTGAGGGTTTGTGTGCATTTAGTAGTGTTTTATACAGGAAATGAAGAGGTTAGAAATGAGAGTTGTAGATGAAAGGTGTTAGGAAAAGGTAACTCTTATGGATCTTGCTTTGTTTTCAGCCAACAGTTTTTCACGTCAATTTTGACAACTAAGTTTGAATTGCAGTCAGCACGTCGATTCTGTATGGATATATTCTGACATTTTACCTAAGGGAGGATGATTTATAAAAACAGGAAGTCACCTATGTTAAATGGTGGGACTTGTAATGACACAGAGCCGACAAGGGTAATATCTCATACGGTGATCTTATACATTTAATCCCCAAGGGTACTACTGTTGGGGTTGAGTGAGTTGGGCCTAAACCGTTCACATATACGAAACAGCTTGATAGAAAGTTTCCTCGCAGTCCCAAAACCAAACTTTTTGCAATTATTTATAACAATCATAATTTTCTTTTTCATAAACAATTTTCATTTTCAGAAACTCAGAGGAAAGGCTATAATATATTAGGTTACATTACATGCAACATTGGAAGAGTATTCAAACCGACATTTTTCTGAATGCGGTAAAACATTCCGATCAGAAACGCGCTAAATGCATAGTGTTGTTGTTTCAGGAATTGGCATCGCCCAAGTGTTAACATGCATAATTGGTATTATGCCGTATGCTCTCATAACGGCTTGGGCAATATACTATCTGAGCCAATCCTTCAGTTCTTTATTGCCCTGGACAACATGTGAGAACTGGTGGAACACCCCTGTATGTATCAATAAGGTAACCAATGACTCATCAGAAGTATGCTTCAACAGTACCGTGGAGCACCAGCTTCTCCACGATGCAGTATGGAGAAAGCCGAACTCGACATTGACAGCGTCGGAGGAGTTTTGGCAGTAGGTTTTCGATACAAATACTTATATTTTTGTTTAAAAGTATAAAGCAAGCACACTGTTCATGTAGAATTGATTCAACATGAATTCGCGTGCTGTATATATACTTATACCCTGTGAAGCTCAAGCTTATCTATCGAGTATACGTATTAACATGGTATTCTTGCAAGATCTTTGGGTATTATAGATAATTCGTGGGTGAATTTACGCTGCTTTCAGCAATATTCTGGTAATATCATGGCGGGGGACACTACAAATGAGCTTCACACATTGTACCAATCTGGGAAATCGATACAAATAATGGGGTTGATCTGTACAAAATGAATGTTTCAGGTGTACTGATATGTATGCTTTCTTTCTGGAAAGGTTCAACGCCCTTCGGGTGTCAACTGGGATCGACAATTTTGGATCAGTACAGTCCCATATGATCATCTGTCTCCTGTGTTCATGGACATTAGTGTTTCTGTGCTTAATGAAAGGTGTGCGGGCTGTAGGGAAGGTGGGTCACTTAAATTTGAAAGTGATGGTGTTTTACCGAAGGAACGAACATGGGGAGGTGATTTTGAGTCACGTTGTTTAATCATCAAGAGAATCATCTTTCCTGTAGTACGTAAACCTTACCGTTTTCCAACTGTCTTGATAAATTCTCTTAATGGAATTTCGGGCGTCATCTTGGTGACAAAAATATGAAGCAGAATTTGAAGCCGTTTGTAACATGCTTTTGGAATCGTGTGAGAAGCACAGTCTTCTATCGGTGTACATTTTCCTACCGCGATTCCGTGCAGAATGGCAAGCATACGGAAAGTTCTGGTCGTGATGTCGTTTGCAATAGGTGACATTTAAGTATGGCAAGTATATGGTGAAGTGTATGTGTGTTGCATGAGTTGCATTTATTGCGAAATGGCATTTTGTAGGTTCATGAAGTGTATGTTCTGCATCAGTTGTCTTGTGGGATGGCAAAACATTGGTGTACATCTGCATCACAGGGGGCGTGCTTATTATGTTCAAGCTTTCGTGTCTGAATCGGCAAAGTTTTAGACTGGCCAATACTGTTCTTGGGCATACGTATTGTACCGCAGTTGACTCTTAGGACAACAGGAATAAAGCACAAAAGGTGTACACATACATGGACTTATATGGGTTGCATTAGGTATTCTTCTTACAATCAAACATTGGTCCAGACAAAATTGTTTGTAAAATCCCACCACCCAACCATAGGAATCTTCCATAGGTTGTGTACGTGACAGCTGTGATGCCTTACGTGCTCCTTATGGTGTTGTTGGTCCGGTCGTGCATGATGCCGGGCTCCGGCAATGGACTCATTTACTTCCTGCGTCCAGATTTCTCACGACTTGGATCAGTACAGGTCGTATACATTTTTTATTACAATCACCATGACATTCATCAACTATTCAAGTCTTTTTGTCTACTGTTGTTGAATTAGTAAATTGTGTATGTTATCACCTGCTATTGATGCAACTTAGTTTGATAAATTGCCAAGCGCATGTTAAATTTCGTGCATATTGATATTCTTCTTTATCAATTGCTCTGTGACAATTGTAAGAATAATAGGCTGCTGAAGCATTTTATCGATGAAATGAAATTGGGAAATCTGTTGATTGGAAAATAGAGCTACGTTGACATTTTACATGGGTACACCTACAGAATACCGGATACCTACCAGCCATATTGTTTAGCGTCACGTCACCCTAACGCTAACCCTGACCCTAAACCTTACCATAACTCTAAACCTTACCCTAACCCTAACCGTAACCCTAAACCTAACCCTAACCAAATGTGAACTCGCGTGCTTCCAAAGATAACGGAAGGTATCCGGTATTCTGTAGTCTTACCTTTACATGTAGTATACATTTAAATGTTCACAAAATATTGCAACTAAATATCAGAATATATATCCTCTTGAAGTATGAACTGTAAGAATTAGCACCAATTGCCATAGCAGCAAACCGTCAATCTTGTAATGCATGTTTTCATGGCAGGTATGGCTTGAAGCTCTCCTCCAGGCCTTTTATTCCATGGGTCCAACGTTTGGCACGCTCATCACTATGAGCAGTTACAACAAATTCCATAACAACTGTCTCAGGTGATTGTCGGAAAACATGGAAATCTTTATAATCTAATCATGTTAAAAGTAAACTACTGTGCATGTGTGTAAACATTTTTCAATGTTTGTATGCTTCTTGTATCATGAAAAACATATTTGTATATTTTAGAGACGTTGCTCTGTTGACAATCCTTGGAGAAGCCAGCAGTATATTTTGCGGATTGGTAGTCTTCTCTACCATAGGATTCATGGCTCATGAGGCTCAAGTACCTATATCAGAGGTAGTTTCGTCTGGTATGTGGGAGATACAATGTGCATTATAAATACAATACCTTGATAGTGCTATGTTGACTTTGTAGGAGTAACTGGCCTTCAAGGGCTTGTAATGTGTATGAACACGGCATGTAAAGACGGATTAAATATTCATTACTTCAAGTATCTGCTTCATTCAGTTGGGAGTCGCAAGATTTATCCCAATTACAACACCCCCATATCAGTGAACCATTTATAGAATGTATATTATCATATGGATCATGTAGATGATTAATGTATCCTAGGTATATATTAACTTCGACATATCTAAAGCTAAAATATATATGTAAAATGTTCACGGTTCATTTACCCAGGAGCGGGACTTGGTTTTATCATCTACCCTGAGGCTATAGCCCAGCTACCCTTGCCTCAGCTGTGGTCAGTCCTGTTCTTCCTCACACTGTTGTCCTTGGGGATCGACACACTGGTAAAATACACGGTCCAACAATATAGATGGTGCCTCATTTGTCTAATGCTTTTACACGATGACGTTGAATGTTCGGTCTGTCACCACAGTATCATTAAAATGATGTTCAGGATGCGTTTGTTTTAATCTTTAGAGCATTTTGTCATTGTTGTTCTCCCACAAGAACTTATTTACTTGTTGCTGAGCATCGACATTCGCGATATACAAGTCATACGATGATCTGTGAATGATCAAATCTGGACCAGGCCATTCAGGGAATGACATTGTAATGTACGCCATCGGGTAAGATTACGCGTCACTGAGCCTAAACACCCCATCAACTAAGATATGAAACTCTTTGGGTTGTAAAGACAGTAGTGATTTTAACCATGAAATGTGTCATGGCTGTATGTCCTATCAATATTGAATACGTGAGCGAGTTAAAATTTAACGTCACCTCGGCAATATTTCAGCCATATAGAGACGAGAACGGTTGTGCATAAAAAATAAATACGAGTTGTTAAGCAACCAGTCATCGAAGGACTGTAAATAATAACTAGAGTATCACATACGGCTTTAAAACTACCATGCAAATCTAAGACTATTTTATTAACGAAGACAATACAATATAGAAACAGGCTATAGGTAGCCAACAACTGAAGTTAGACAACCATACTAGGGACCATGGGGACTTACAGTGCCTTTGCTACCTGGGTAATTTTTATATTGAAAATAGATAGCAAACATCTAGAAAATAGTATTTTGTTTGGCAATGTTCCAGGTTTGCTTTCAGTAGCAATTCTTAAACATGAACGTTATTGTCTTATAGAACCCACGCGTCAATTTACATGAATGTTTTAACTATAGATGCTTTGTTTCGTTGAAGACATATTTCATGGGTGCTCGTTTGTAAAACGTCTTTGTAATCCTTTGTTATAGTTTGGAGCAGTGGAGACAATCATTGCGGGGATAACCGAAGCCTTTCCTCAGAATTTACAGAAGAAAAGAGTTCGTGTCACAGCTGGAGTTTGTCTATGTATTTTCCTGCTCTCTGTTCCATATACGACAAAGGTGTGTTCAATCATACATTCAATTCATTCATATATATAGCTTCGGGTATTAATCTCTAGATATGCTGCATGTGGCATAACCACATACAGGGTCATCTACTCGCGTAGATGCCATAATATTGTATTTACAACACCGGTGACTGAAAAATTATATTTCCCGAGTGAGGGGGGGATATCATTTTTCTGGCAAGAGTGTTGTAAATACAATATGACATCTGCGCAAGTGTGTTAATTTCTATATTATCACCTACTTTTCAGAAGGCTTTAATTACAAATAACAGTGTTTTACCGGCAGTTTCCATGTTAAAAGCGATCTAAATATAGCCTTGAAGCGTATGAATACAATTACAGCAACGTCAAGGTAGCTGCGCAGTGAAAGGAACTGTTGTGTGACTAAACATCTAGCGCCAATTTAAAACAGTGAAATTTTGACAAATACATGTAAGACGTGACTAAATGTCCATTTTAATTACCATATGATTCACTTTCTAATAATATTTTTTAAGTCATTGTAACCTTACTAACGACAGTAACAGAAGTTGTAGTAAACATTGTATCGTAGTAAAACGTTATTTGTGACAAAATAGCCCCTCATTCTGATGACCCGTGATTGTCGCAACAGGCCAAGTAAATAGCCTCTATGGTTTATAACGCGTGTGCTTTGTATCGAAAATATGTCATGACTTATTTTAAAACACATGGACAATAAAACTGTATATGCAATACTTGGAACAATGAATTCTCATTCCATAATTCCAGGGTGGAATCTACCTCTTCCAACTTTTGGACTGGTATGCCTCATCATTCAGCGTCCTGTTCATTGGTTGCCTGGAGTGCGTGACGATCTGCTGGATTTATGGTATGGAAAGACCGTGATGTTGAGATTTGTTTTGTCGAATTTCAGGTGAGTGGGAACAAACCAGAAACAATTATTTGGACTAAAGTTTTGTTCCAGTCCACTGCTATTTAAAGCATGTTGTCACACGCACAACCGTCGATCGATGAGTTCTGAGCCCAATACTGAAATGTGCCTTTGTGGACATTATGTGATGTTTTGGAGTTTGATTGACAAAAACCCGAGGAAACTGTCTCGTTGTGGCAAGTCAGTGAACAAACGGGTATCTGTGATTTTTGGAAAATGGACACATGTGAGGTGCGTGCAATGATCAAATACTTACAGGTAAAGGGCGTAAAACCAAAACCCACCCATAAACATTAGACAACGCCGAGGAAAACCAGTGAACAGGTGGGTTGCGTAGTTCGACACCAACACTGACTGTGTTCTCCGGTTCAGCAATGGTTTTGATATAGCACTGAATATTTATTGCAGGTTCTAAACGTTTCAGTCTGGACGTGGAGATGATGCTTGGGCGACGAACCCCGGTAGTGCTGAGTATCATGTTATCGTACATCACCCCTGTTATTCTGTTTGTAAGTAAAACAGCTTCAAACACATTGGCTATTATGAAGACTAAGTATATTTAAACAGTGCTGTTTCCTGCTGTATACGTTATTTTCTACTACTAACGTTTCAAGTCAATGGCTGAGCTTACAGTTACAGACAACTATAAATCCTACCTTTATTCACCTTTGTCTTATCTGTAGTTAGGGTATATATATTTTAGGGCTGTGCAATATTACCGGTAAACCGGTATATACCGGTACAGTATCTCGCGGTGCGATTATCGCGATATGGTTCAGATTCTGCAATATATTGGGTCATCCAGAGTTCCATTCGAATTATCCATGGCTCCTAGTATGGTGATCTACCTTCAGTTGTTGGCGATCCATAGCCCATTTTTATATTGTGTTGTCCCCTAAAGTTAAAATGTTTTAGATTCAATTACTAGTTTTACATATATATCTGTGATATTCTAGTTGCTTTACTGTCCTTTGTCGGCAGATTTTATAATCTCTCTCTATATTCTATTTCAATGTCAAGTGTTCTCGTCACGATATGGCTGAAATATTGCCGATGTGACGTTAAATCATAACTCACTCACTCCATTCGAATTATCTGCCCTTGATTTCCATAGCAAACAAATGTGCTCTAAAAGTGCCAAATGGAAAGTGCCATTATAAGTGGCTCCAAAATTGCCAAATAGTCTACCAATACTTTACGTTTTGTGGGTTTGAATGGTTTCATTTGGAGGAATTAAGTGGCCTCAAATGGACCAATTTTTATTTGGACGTATTAGTAGAGCCTCTGGCTCTGAGTGACCATTTCACTGTTTACAGGATTTTGTTATTTTTGTTTGTTTCATAATGGGGCATACGATATCAATTTATCATACAGGCCTGAGTCTTAGACAAATTGTAGGACTGTATAATGTCATTCCAGTAAAGGATCTTAGCTATTTGAGGTCACATGCGATTTTAATCTCAAGTAGTTCAACTAAATCTTGTTTTTCTTTCATTTGGCAATAGTTCATGTTAACACATTGAATCTGAATGAATCACATACAGTTACAATAATTACATACTGCACTGAAGTGCATTCTGTTTGAGCAAACAACACTGACTATGAAAATCATGTTATACTATTACCTTTATCATTATGTTCGCAAAACGTTGGTGCAATATATTCCACATTAAGGCTCTATATTATTTTATTTATCTGTAAACGATTGGCATACAGCCATACCCAATGGGGACGGGGAGCCTGAAGCTATGGTATAACAATTACTGAGAAGATGATGTCGCACACAGAGAGCTATTATGAATTTATGATGTACGCACTTGTGGAGAAACCTTCCAGTCAAAATTAATACAATATGTATTGCAATATCTCTTAAATTATTGCAATTTATCGCAATATGAAAATCAGGGCAATATCCAGGCTTAATATATTTCCAGCAATGTCATGTGATGAAAGGAACGCAATGATTGAAGCCATTAACACATCTATACATATCAATTTTAAAGAGAAATGCCAGTAGTCGAATTTAAGGCTACAATGACCAAAAAGTCCAAAGAAAAGGTTTCTACTCTAGCTGTTTAAAGTTAAAGCACGGAAGCTAATCATTTATTCCATGTACCCCATTTGCATGTTAAACATTGGTTTGAATCTTGAAAACGTTTTTGCAGGTGGAACAGAAACCCAAATCTAGAATTTAACTTACGAATAGACAAAACAACATCGCCTGATAAAGCACCATTTGTTCCACAGGCAGCCCTGGTCCTGTCTCTCTTTATGTATGACCCGCCAAGCTACGGGACATACATATATCCAGTCTACGCCAAGGTACTTGGAATCATCATGGCAGTTCTCATGACTGCACCGATACCGCTCATGATGATATACCAAGTCGCACAGGGGGAAGGGACCATCATGGAGGTATGTTTACTTAGAAGCATCGGGTGTGTATGGAGTTTGTAAAAAGTTACTACTATTCCCCATGTCAATGTTCCTTTCACCAAAGTATCACATCACCAATGACATCTTTTTAAGATTTTACCAACACGAACTTTATTTTGTTTGTTATTTTTTTACGTTCAGCGTATCAAATTCGCAAGTAAGCCATCTCATGAATGGGGCCCGGCACAACCAGAACACAGGAAAATCTATCTTGAACATACACCACAAGAGTTCATTATGGATCAGTTGCCTGGAGCAGATCAGCAGGATCACTGAAGAAAGAAAATACCCATAAGGCTGGTCGTTATTGATAATTTATATACAGTTGGAAATTTGTGGCGTTATTTATCAGAAATAGGAAAGTTCATTTACATTTTATACTCAGTATGAAATGGTGACTCTGCCTTCGTGTTAACATAATCACTCTTTTCTATTTCGTATGTAATTATAAGTTATAGATATTTTATTTCTCAGATGTTAGAATATACTCAAAGGCCAATGATACGTGAATTAAACGTACTTCCCACCATGGAATCATGATGCTATATTTAGCATTTCATAAATATGCTCGTCTTCCAGTTGCAAAAGCGAATGTTTTAATTATTTATTTTATATTAGTTTGTTGGATTATTTGAGACGGATGTGTATTTATATAACAAGTAATAAAATACCTCATTCCAACATATGGGTCTCCGTGTTTGTCGCTGTCAAATTTAACAATCGTCGTTCTATTGATGCAGATAACACAACCGCAAAAGCGTTGACGGAATGGCATATAGCAATATGCGTCATATTAAATGATTTACTTAAAATATTTGGACTTGCTTTGTTCCATATATTATATCAAACCAGTCCCCCATGGTTGTGTAAGCAATGCAACCCACATTCATATGATATACGTCAACCATCCAAGTTGACAGTTAACAAATTTACATCAAGGCTGTGTCATATTTAACCGTTTAATGGAATTCAGTGCACAAAGTGACGGCCGCTGTCTTATATTCTGTCGCAGGGCTCAGATCTGTTTTTCGTCAGTACCGTGTTCCACTGACGTCCATAATGTGTTCTATTAAGGCACAGCTCTCATCGGAGAAAGGGCACAAGCACTGGCTTCCACGTGGCTGTCTAACACAATAAGCTGAGGCGAGACAGATGCCCTGATTCAATTTGCTGGCTAAAGTATCTGGCTAACGTTTGTGAGCGTATCTCTAGACTCAACGAGACATACAACTACTAAAAAACGTTTAATTCCAGTATAATGCTATACTACCATTCTTGTCACAGTGTGAGTGTGTCTAGTGTTATGCCGCAATATTCCAGCTATATGGCAGCATTTTTGTCTCAATACCCTCTGGATGTATCATTGGCAAAGAAGGCCCATAGGTCCAGCCGAAATGGAAGGTACATTATTGTCAATGGAAGTTACTAGTCACTACAGGTTCTTTTGAAGTTCACACCAACTATAACCTCGCTGTGACATCATCATCACAAGCACGTTGCTGCATCTACCAAGCAAGGTTAACCACTGCTTTACAAAGTTATGCCAATTACATTTGCTGGTTCAAACCGTAACATAACCTTCACAATCAAGTATTTATGTCTTAATTCATTGATATCTTAATAGTCAGACATTACTAAATATCTATATGAAATTGTTATACAATAAAATGACTGCAGACGATAACATTAAGTTTTATCACTAAACGCATTTAGTTGCTTTCACTTCCATAAATAAAGTTTTCCGTCACACGGAATAAATATTTCAGTGTCAAAACAATTAAGGATCTTTTTTTTATAATGTAAATTATCATTTAATACTTTTTTAAAAAAAAAAGAAAGAAATAGAAATATGACATACATTTTGGAAAATCTGTTTGTAAATAGATAAATGTCATCTTAGAAATGGTACTATAAATTAACAACTGCGATAGTTATTATCAAAGGGGATTAAAGTATCGTACACTTATTGTCCCCATGAGAGGGTACGTAAGTCCCAAAACTTTAAAAGTAAAATTGAAACTTACCAGATGTTTTTAACGTAGTATTTTTGCTATTTTAAATTTTAATTTTCCTACACCAGCCACCGGCTGAAGGGATGGTGTAAATCCAACTAAGGTCCATGAAGATAGCAAAAGCACTGTAAGTCCCCATGGACCCTAGTGATACTATGGTGATCTACCTTCAGTTGTTGGCCTGTTTTCAGATTGTATTGTCTTCGTAAAAAAAATAGTTTTAGATTTACATGCTAGTTTGAAACACCATCTGTTATAATCTAGTTATTTTACAGTCATTCGATGACTGGTTATTTAACAACTTATATTATTGTGTATGGCAAACCTTTCTGGATGAAATATGGCTGAAATATTGCCAAGGTGACGTTAAATTTTAACTCACTCACTCAATAAATAATGAACATAGGCTGGGGTAAAGTTTTCGATTGCTGCCACCTCAAAATATCATGAACATAGACTGTGATACAGTTTCACCTGCTTTCACTTCAATAAATACCAAACATAGGCTATGGGTAAAGTTTCTGCTTGCTTTAAACATGATTACCTTCGCTACTTTTGCTAAAACCATAATGTCTGCACAACGCTATATCACAACATCAACAGAATGAAAGGAACTAAGATAACTACAAATCACACGTCCGATTTAAGTAGGTAGATATTGTACTAGGGCTTCAGTCAATTTCATCTTCAGTCAACAAGACTACTGACACATCTTACCACATAACGCTTCTGAAAACATTTTGTTTATAAAGATATAAATGTTCTTAATTGTCACTGTTTTCATAAAAATAATTCACTATTATGTTTTCTCGACTGTAAGCGTTTGACACGAATGAATGCCGTGTGTTTTAAAAAATGGGAAAACTTATGACACTAACAACAACAATGTAGAACGAGTTTTTGCCACTGATATGGCAATGTCCCCTGCTGCTAAAGAATGGAATATCTATATTTACTACAGTAACTTTTGTATTTTTTGGTCACATACAAGATGCCTGTAATGACTGATGTCTGCATAATCACCCAATGTAGGCTGACAACATAATTGAAAACATTGGGTGCAATGGTTTATGAGATATCGCATTTAAATAAGTTTCAAAAGCGGTCAAAGTGTCGTGGTGACCTCGAAGATAAGGTCAAATAAACTGGTGTCTGCGTAATCCCCGAGTGTAGGCTGTCGCCAAATTTGAAGACATTGGGTACAACAGTCCATGAGATATTGCGTTAACAAGAGTTTAAAAAGTGGTCAAAGTGTCGTGGTGACCTTGATAATAAGGTCAAGGTCACCCCAATCGATTGGTGTCTGCATGATTCCCCAATGTAGGCTGTCACCAAATTTGAAGACATTGGGTACAACACTTCATGAGATATCACGTTAACAAGAATCGGGACGCACGTACGTACAGACGGACGCCGCTGAATACATAGTCCCCTGTTCCGCATTGCGGCGGGGGACAATTAGAGCTATCCCAGATATAGGGTTATGGTGTTATGGACGTCTTATTGTCATAGTCTAGTTGTGGCCATATACCCATGTTCACATACTGCAGCTTCTTAAAGCATACGCATGTATACATTTAGTGCACAGTACAAAGTAAAATACTTGTACATAACATTCAACGCTTCATGTCTATCTCTATCTGATACCTATTACCGCTAAAGTATCGTGCTGATGTGGAAGAATTTGAAGCATATTTATCATCTAATGGAGGTTGTTATCGGTGCAATAAAGCAATCTGATAAACTTGGTATCAAAATCTGATAACTATGCAAATTACGTCAATCCACGAACTACTTTCACAGAACTCCATACACCCCATGCAAATCCTAAAACGTTAACATTTCATTGATGACGTCGTCAAGAGTTTAGTAAACAAACATGGCTGCCCCCTGGTGACTGAGGTTCTGGAGTCGTTACTGCAGTAATTGACTTTGGAAAACATGAAACGGAGTACTTCGTGGCACGACTGAAAGGCAATCGTCTAAGAAAGGTACCAACCAAGGATTTCGATCTATCGATCACGATGCAGACGACGAATCGATTCCGTCAGGTATCAGAAACTGATATTGATGAGGTGATTACCCGCAATGAAAATAGAAACACTGCCAGGAAAACCCTGCCCGGTTTTGTTGTTCCCTTTAGACAGACAGATCGCATTTAAGCATGAGTTTTGTTTGCACTGTATTAGCAACTAGTCACAACCATATGCCGCGCTCATGAACGACCTTCTCCTTCGTGTACCCCTAAGTATTCTTACGCGAATGCTCGATTCTCTTCATATAAATTCACGTACGATTTGCTTCTTTTTTTTTAAGAGTAATCTTAAGAATGACATTACACGATAAAGAGATTATTAACCAAGTGTGTTTCCGTATCATTAATATCATATATTAGAAATAAAAAATTATGTATTATGCTCGCCAAAGGCTCGCATAATACAATGTTTATTCCTAATATTGAATGATACTGGTTTTGCATTTAATATAAGTGACGGTCTGTTGTTTTGTGGCGTGTATATTTCTGTTTCTTTAGTGAAGCGCGTACTTTATAAATGAAGTTATGCGGAGGATGGAGTAATGACAAGAAGAAATATCTGAACTCCTCCATTATAGATTTATTGCCTTGACACCTATATATATATATATATATATATATATATATACACACACACACATATATATAGAGATATATACACACACATACATACATACCTATATATAGTATGACCAGAAATTATTGAGAATTTTAGGAATATGTTTAATTGGATTTCTAGTATAAACAACCTTGACCAGTTAGCAAGTGCTTGGTTTCGTTCAAGAGAGACAACTCCGTTAATCCTTTTTCATTAGTTTGTGAAGAGTTATCCCCCTGCGTTTACTTGCTAGCAGACGACATTTTCAGTGATCCTCAGTTTGGATGATTAAGAGAAGAAGAAGTTGATTTTAGAGTATTAAAACAACGACATCAGATCAGCTAAAGTGATTTCAAGTAGAACAGGCATCCCTTTGTCCACTGGTTATCGTGTTTTGAAAAATATTGCAAATGGTTATGACATTGAGCACCAGGGAGGCGCAGGTAGGCCCAGAAAATTAACTGTCGGTGACAGGAGGCGGCTTGGTATTCTTGTTTCTAAAAACAAACGAAGGAGTTTAGAAAACGTAAGGCTGGATATGATTGATAGAGGAACTGTGGCTGTCTGTAAGGAGACAATTAGAACTGAGCTGCATGCAATGGGTTGGCAGAAAAGTCGAGGAATTCCATCACCGATCATGAAACCTGAACAAAAGGAGTGAAGGTTGAACTGGTGCTTACAGCATAGAAATTTTAACTGGGACAATGTGATTTTCTCTGTGTGGCTGTTTCCTAATACACTGAAATTCTGGACCAAACAAACTGAAAAACCTTAGTATCAGCGCCCAAAGTACAGTGCGAAATTTAACGTGTGGGTGGCATATCTGTGTTGGGGGCAACGCCCCTCTGTGTATTTGAAGGGAATATGAACAGTGAGCGGTACACAGATCTTCTCGAGGGACATTTACTTCCATCTGCTCACATGTTCTATGGAAATTTTTGGTTTTTCTAACAGGACAACGACCCAAAATATCGTTCAAAGCATTCACAGGCCTGGTTTTGGACCCGAAATATGACATTATTAGACTGGCCAAGCTAT